TTCAACCTTGTAGCATTGTACATTTCCTAGAACAGCCTTCGATTGGCTCGGAAGTCAAGTAACATTTAATGTTATATTTCCACTCCTTCCCCCCTCTTTTATACTCGAGTACAAATTATGCTAATATTTTATATTATCCCCCTTTGATGTTTTTATGACTACACAAGGCATTTTCTATAAATGCCAAATGTGATTATTTTTCAAGACTCCTGAATATTTGAATATTGGAATACTGTTATATGGTGGGTCTCGAAACCCTATGCAAATAGAGAGAGAGAGAGACAGTTTGAGGATCTTCTCCAGCTGCAACTCGGTGTTGTGATGATTATCCGGAGACAGCCCACCACCAGCAGATGATGTGTTCTGCTGTTTCTTCCTCATAGAAGCAGAGGTGACATGTATCTATTATCCTCAAGTGCCCAGATTTTCTTGCGTGCTAGCAACGAGCTGGTTTTGATCTCATGGAAACTGATCACTTTCTTGGATTTTCTTAGTCCAGGGGCAGATTCCCATAGACATTTTCACTCTTTTCTTAGTGGGCTCCAGCTAGACTTGCTGGTGCTGCACAGTAGGGTTCCAGTTCAATTTGTGAATGTTAGGTGCCGCCCTTAGCGAGGCGATCAGCGTCCTCGTTATCGGCTAATCCATGCGAGATTCCATGCGCAGGTTGGAGGTCAAGGACTGATAGAGCCTTGGGAACTGTCTGCCTGTCCGAGCAGATGTAAATGCGCGCACCCAGTAGCCCTTTGGCCTCAATGACCTCTGCACACCTGGTTATAGCTATAAACCTTGGCTAGAAATATTGTGGGAGTAGTTCCTAAGACCATTGAGAGAGCGTAAGTCTGCCCTTTTACGCCTATTCCCACCCCTTCCTGCGACTTGGAGCTTGGAGCCATCTGTGCACCGGCATACGGCTCCTTTTAGAAATTTTGGACGGTTCTTACATATACTTCCTTCACCCGGATCCCCATTTTGAAGGGCTTGTCGTGGCGGTATTCGGAAGTCATGTAGTCTGAAATCCTGTATATGTACTCAGGAATGTCTAATTGTGTTTTGTAACAAAAGAAGTATGTGTGTACATTCCTTGGTATGCTATTTTATTATACTATTATTATTTTAGCTAATAAAGTATTTTCATTCTATATTTGACATTTTAAATGGTTTGACTGCGTAGGCCTAGTCGCTCTTTTAACAGTGACGGTAGATAAAGTGATCAACACAAGGGTGGATAAGTGAAACAGATGATTATGCATTGTAATGACATCTGTCATTCTTATTTCAAATGGGATGCGGAGCACGATACAAAATGACATTCAGAACTTATGACAATGGTGTTTCTATGGAAACGACAGCGACGACAGAACCTAAGCTTGCTGTTTTTGACGTCTAAATTAAACTCGGAAGTGTCAGAAGCTTTACAGTGATTTATTTCGTGATTTATATGGCTTCTGCTATAAAACAAAGCTTTGTATTATACACGACGATAAAGGGAAACTAACAATCTTGTGAAAGTTAATTCATTCAATGGTTAAAATATTCCGTTATCGTCTTATATATAATAAATTGGGCACTTTCTTATGAACTTTCTTTTTATTAAAGATAATTGATTTTGACAAAATCTCTCTTACAGCACTTTTTATGTAGAATCCATTGTATACAGGGTGTTTCGTTGTTCTTATACGACCCAAAACTGTATTTTTTCATGTGGACCACCCTATATATTTTGGAGTTTTCGAAAAAAGCCTAAAATTTCCTAAATTTGTATGTTATCACTTGTATTTTTATATTATATATTTATTTTACATATAAATAACTATTACAAAATAATAAATCCATTAGTGTTTACAACAGACCATCATTACCTATATCAGAGCTGGGCAGAAATTAATTCAAAAATCAAAATGCCATTAATTCGTGATTTAATTCAATTTGGCGAATTAACTCCAATGCAATTAAGCCTTTTTTAGAACTGCTGTAAAAGGGCTTGTAATTAAATTCTTTTACAAAAGGAATTGTAATATTGTGAATTGTAAAAAAGGCTTAAATCGCATGAAATGTTTAAATCCCGCAAAACGATAAAAGCAACCAGTGGATATACTGGGTGTCAACGAATCTATTAGACAAGCCATAATTTCTAGAGTATATTAGTGTGTCAAAATGAGATTTGGTACAAGTAAATGGGACGTCAAGAGGAGAGTTTTCGCATATTTTTCTCTTTCGGCTTACTTAAACCGGAAATGGTCCAGGTTTTGAATTTTTAAATAGAACACCCTGACTATGTTTAAATTTTTGGATTTATGATTCTAAATTAACATTGTTAGATTCGTCAAAAAATCCTTTTGCGGAAGGTAGTTTTGAAAAAAGGGTTGTCATTTGAAAATACACGAAAATGTAATTTTGCCAACTGTTTTATTTCTGTCTCTCATATTAGCCACTATATAAATGTGGCTTTAAAAAAATCAAGTGGGAGTAAAAACTTTTAAAAAGGTCACAGTCTGATTCAGAATTGTGTCAGAAATTCAAAAATGTAAAAATATACAGGGTGTTCTATTTTAAAATTCAAAACCTGGACCATTTCCGGTAAAACCGGAAGTGAGCGGAAAGAGAAAAATATGCGAAATCTGTCCTCCTCACGTACCATTTACCTGTACCAAGTCTCATTTTGATACACTAATACTCTAGAAATTATGGCTTGTCTAATAGATTCGTTGACGCCCAGTATAAATTGGTATATGTCATACGAGTATGTAGTTATAAGTTAAACCCTTCAATGGTGCAACCATAGTCTTTTTTAATAAAACGCCACGGTGTAGTCATTTTATTAACGAGCTCCTAGCGAGTTTACAATTTTGCGGTGTCTGTCCGTCCGTCCGTTACCACGATATCTCGATAACGAATAGACCGATTACGACGAAATTTTCTAGGTGGACTCTTTATCGAATTTGTAGATCGGAGTTCGTGAATTGGCAATATAAGTCAAACATTAAGAAAAGCCCTTTTGACATCTCTTTTATTTATGAACCGAATTGCATGAAATTCAATATGGGCATAGCTCTAGCCATATAATACGCAATTCCAAAAGTTGAGTCTAATCGATTCAACATTAATTAGCAGTGCCCTTTTCGCATCTTGGTCATTTATGAACCGAATTGCAAACTTTTTTTTTATGAATGTATTTAAATGAAACTTGATACTTAGACACTTGCTTTGCTGTATTTGTTTACACGTTTATTTACCTATACATAGGCGCGGTACGTGTAGTGTAAAAATTCTATTTGCATTTTTCTAAATAAAATATAATCTCGATACTATAGAGCCAAAATGACCACGAACGCGTCACAAGAAGGCTTATGAAGTAGGGCTTGTAAAACACAATTCCTTTTTGAATTGTGAATTAATTCCTTTTGAAAGAAATTGTAATGGGTGAATCGAGTTAAGATTTGATTTGTGAATTGTAAATTAATTCCTTTCTTGGTAGGGCTTGCATTACTCTCACCTATATATGTATTATAAATTATAATAATAATTTATAATTCTCTATCACACTATATAAACAAAAAAATGCCTCCTGTTTGTGGCTTATGATGTTTTGTGAAAAACCCATTGAAATGTTTATAAATATCTACCCATAAATACAAATTAAATACTATAAATACCGCAAATCGGAGAGCATTTATAAATAAACTTCTAACAAGTAACATATCAAACGAGCTTCTGGGTCACTGAACATTTAATCAGATCTTCCTTGGGGGAAAACAAAATACTGAAAACAGAATTGGAAAATTCGAAACCGTTCGGGAGTTATCTTGTCCACAGACGGACGGACCGAAAGTCCAAAACCAGTTTTAAGCGAGGTTTTAACCCAAAATCCTACAAGACACAACATATGCACTAGTGTCCTAACGCTACCATCTAAAAAGCCTGTGTCTAGCTTGCTTGCGAGTGGTCACTTAGTACATACCTAATCCCTGGATAAAGACTCACAACAATACCTACCCACCCTTTCTATGGTAGATACAAAATTCATGTGTTCTAAAAATTCCCAAAAAAAACAAATGTAATATTCCTGGTTTTTGTTTTGAATCCATGCTTTGCTTCTCAATCATAAGTGGCGTTAATGTAATAGCATAATTATCAGAACGGAAGAGGGTGAGGATACGCAAATTATCATACCCTAGGACCGAATGTTCGGATAATCCTGCTTTTCATAATATGGCCCAACAATCACGTAATTTCGCCCCTTCGCATCAGGAACTATAATAATATACTACAAGTACAAAAAGAAGAATAAATACTCAAAAACTACAGACTTTCTTACTTCTATCTTTGTGTTTATCATATTCAAAAATAATTGTCTGGATAATTGTATGATTGTATGGATTTAAATCAAATTATTGACGTAGGTAGGTAGGTAAAGAATTACATTTCGCATTTCGTCATTATTTATTCTAACTTGGAAAGTTCATTCATAAGTCGGCAATTATTCCATTCTAGCGTAATTACAATCCATACGAGCCGGTAAAAAGTCCACTGACCTCTGTGTTTAATAATAATGGTCAGAAATAAAAATAAAAAGTACACGACGCTCCCCTTCGAAATTCATTCATATTCTTTCTCCTCCGTAAAATTGACGGACGCGCATATTAAAAAAGACGGCGGGAAAACAAAAGCCGCGCGCGCGTTTTGTTTAAAGATCGCACCGAAAGGGTGTTCTTCCCCTTCAATTTGCATAAGAGGAAATTCCCGAATAATCGATTTCCTTAGCGTTAATCAATCAGTGCGTCACTTTTGAGTGAAAGGAGATTGTATTTTTAGAATTTTGGCACTACTAAATTAAGAAAATTTAGCACACGCGAATCCTTTTGATCGAATTCGCAATTTTTCTTTCCGGTTACAACGAAAAAAACCATACGTTGTTCGCACGTGAGATTAACACGTATACCTTAGTAACACCGATAATTAATTCTGTACGTACTTAGCCAGATGAATTTATTACTTACGGGACTCGCAGTTTTTGGGCGCACTAATTTTTTTAAACGTCGCGGCGTTCAAGTCTTTCGCATTTTGTGTTTGACGCGGCAAAAAAAGATCACAAAAAGTGAATCACACAATTACAAACCTAAAATGTGAAACAAACTAGCGTAATAACTGAATGGCTGTTGGCCAACATGTCGATGTCGTACGCCTGCTACACCGCACTTAATGGCGAATCGCGGATGTTTGAAATTCCGCGATCCACTGAGTTACTTGTACGATAAAATACTAACATCTCAGTTCGGAGAGGTTGTACCGGTAGGCTACGTCACACGTGGAGCCTTTTCTCTTTATCTCGGGGTAATAATCATAATGCTATACAGAATATGATTAGCATCGAGAACTAGACGCTTTTTTCGGTTTTTAAACACGTACTTAACTTCTTTTACTATACCGACAAGGACGTGACTCGTCATTTTCATTATGTAACGTTTATATTACCTTTAAACAATAGTTTCTGATTTCCGTAGTTAATCTCATGTTTATATTACGATCACGACGCTTAATAATTGGTGTATTTATAGCGCCTAAGATGAAAGCAGCATGTTGCGCACCCTTTTCAACATTTATATAACCGATCTAGAAGGTGAAAAGGTTCAAAAGGGCAAAAAGGGAATTCTTGCAAGATGGGGTAGTCTATTAATTGTGGTTGTTTGTAAATAAACACTATAACTTGGCCGATTTTAAATAAAAATAAACGAGATTTATTTATTACTGCTTTTCATCTTCAAGACGTCAACAAGCATAAAACTTGACAACTTAACTGGACCATTTTTATAGGTCAAATATTACATGTTTTTAAAAATGTGTCATACAAGCAAGAGAATCAGTACACAAATTCATTATGTTGTCGTCTCATTGAAATGTTATAAGATCCCAAAAACAAAAGTTGTACTCAAGCTGACATTTTGGAAAATGGCGGCCAAAACACGGTTTTTTTATATTTGATTACTTAACCGTTGAGATCTACATTAGGTACCAATTTTTGGTGAACTACGATACCTGCATAAACGTGTGATATTGTTTCTAAAATTTACAACGGCAACTTCCTTTTAAGCCCCACGTTGGGCGCCATTATGCAACGGGATTGTATATTAAGGGAGTTAACCTTCCCTAAAGTCGAGCCTCCCTCTAAATTTTCCTTTTCAATTTTTCTAAAACCTGACTTCAAAACCTCAAATTACTTTGTAGCTTTGACTATACTGACGACAAACTCAATAATGAAGCAGATCCAGTTTACTGCTTTTTTTGTGACCACGGTTTTTTGAACAACCTTAATTTAAATTCAAATCTAATAACCATATTTTTGGAAAAAAATCTTATTATAATCAACACACCTTTTAAATTATTATTATTATTTATTAACCCGAGCCTTTCGGCTTCGGGGACTCTTAGGTATGTACATAGCATATATATGATACTAAGTAAGTTTCGATACAAACAAATAAAATTTCTATTGCATTTTAATTTAATACAACATCATCAGAAATAGCTAAATAATGTTTATTCTTATTCCTCTCTTCTCTGCAATGTCCTTCTTATCCAGTCGATTCCTCTTCCATCTTTCTGTAATATTTCCTTTACTGTTTTGCTCGTCTTGGTTTAGCTACATCTGTACATCACGCGTGTTCTATCGTCTCTGTTTCTTCCTTACATAGTCTGCACTTTTCTTCCTTCTATCTTTTCCCGGTCCTGTTTTCATTTCCGCATCTAAATCTTGCAATGGTTTTTATATTTTTGTTGTTCTTCTGTAGATATTTTGGCAAGTGTAATGTTTTTATTTCTTTTGTACGTGGTATTGTAGGTGCTGTTTTCTATTCGATTGATTTGGTATTGTAATTGATTGTCTTTGTCTCTCTCCTTCATAATCATTGGTATATTTACCCCTTCTCTCCTTAATCTTTCCGCCTCATCTTCTGCATACCATTCCTTTGGAAATATATTCTTCTTTCTTCGTCCACTTTGCTTTATTGGTCTTCTTTCTCTCCTTGAGAGTTTTTTTTAATAGCCCGTTTTCTCTTCTATCTATCCTTTCTTGGTATTTAACTGCTCTATATCCCTCTTCTATCCACATCTTGTTTGGTTTCCTCCAGAAGTATATAAGTTACCAAAAAGCCAATCCTAGGATCCATTTTAGGTATTTGTTTAGTATCCGCTCGATGTCCTCTATCTCCTTCCACCCCCAATATTTCTGCACCGTACATCACTGTGCTTTTGATCAGGTAGTCGAACATCATTTTATTGATTCTATAGTTGTTTTTGAATTTTTTTTCTGCTATGCTCCATATCTGCGGTATTAATTTATTTACTTTTTTCTTTATTTGTCTTGTGTGAGCACTTGGTCCTCCGTTCTTCATTAGTGTAGATACCCAAGGTATTTAAATTCCGAAACTTCTTCTATTTCTCTTCCTTCGATTTTCCACGATGTCGTCCTTATTCTTCTTTCTTCCTTTTGTAAAAACCATTATTTTCGATTTTTCTGTGTTTATTATGAACTTCTTTCTTCTTGCCTACCTTTCTAACTGTGTGATCATTTCCTTCACTTCTGATTGCTTTGTTGCAATGAGCACCATGTCATCCGCGTATGTTAATAACCATATCTTTTATCCCCCAATTTTTATTCCTCTTGCTTGTCATTTTCTTAATGCTTCTTCCAGGTCTGCCACAAATGTTGAAAAGGGTTGCACTTAGCGGACATCCTTGCCTGACTCCATTTTCCGTCCAAAAATAGCCTGTGTGTTTGTTATTGACTTTAAAGCCATACTCTTTGTTTCTCCATAGATTTCTTTAATCCTTTCTATTGTGTTGCTGTCTCTATTTTTCTTGTCCAAGCTCTCATATAATTCGTTCCTGTCTAGATTCGAATGCTGCTTTTAGATCTATGAATAGGGCGTAGACTTTACCTCCTTTTTTTTCCAGTTCTTGTTGTACTGCGTGATTTATTATGGATATGTTGTCTATCGTCCCCCTTCCTTTCCTAAAGCCCATTTGTGTTTTATCTAATATTTTTTTGTCCTCTACTTTTTCATTTAAGCGGTTGTTTAGTATTTTAGCGTAAAGTTTGTATGTTGAGTTTAGAAGTGTGATTCCGCTATAGTTTTTGATGTCATCTTTGTTTCCTTTTTTGTATATTGGGCTCCTTCTTTCCAGCTTTCCGGAAATCCTCCTCCTCTCCATACCCTGTTAATAATTTTTCTGATTTGCTGTTTCACGTTTTCCGGCGCATGTATAAGTCTTATCATCTCATTTGTTATTTGGTCTGCTCCGGAGGCTTTCTTTTTTTTCATATTTGCTATTTCTGCTTCCATTTCTTTTTCCCCTATTTCTTCATCCTCCTTTTCACTTCTTCTTTTTGTTTTTTCCCCTTTGAAGCTTATCTGTCCGTTTAAACCTTGTATAAAGTAGTTTTTCCTCCCTTTGTTTATAAATTTCCACACTTCATTTTCGTTTTTGATGCTTTGTATTTCTCTTATTTCCTCTTTTTGTAATTCTTCTTTTTTGTGTTTGCATGTATCCTTATATTCTTTCTTCTTTGTTCTGTACTCTTCGCCTGTGTCTTTTCCTGTTTTCCAATCCATTAGGGCTTTTTTTGTTATTTGTTTTTTCTCTTTACATTCTGTGTCCCACCACTTGCTTCTTCCTGGCAACACCTTTTAAATATCCATAATGAACTCATTCACTGTCTTGAAATTAAAGTAACATTAAATGAAAGAACAAATATAACAATCTCACGTCAACAAATTCCCCTAAATACCTGCAATACCAACTGCTTTAAATTGCCCAGAGTTGGCTATCTTTAAGAACAGTATTTCCACAACTAAACACTTTTTTATCAGCACAAATAATTTGTTTACGTTTAAATTCAGATTACTTGTTGACGGAAAATATCCGTTCGGCTAAACCGTGACCGGAGATATCTCTTTTGCTTCCAATTATTTTACCCTTTTTTAACTGTAAAATTTTCAAAAAATTAACCGGAAAAGATAGGAATTACCTTCGCTCGGATCGGACTTGGATCGAATTTTTTTTCAAGAAGGCTAGGCTGTCCTCAAAAACCGCACATACGAGAACTCTGCTGAATTGCATCTTTAAAATGAGTACGATAAACCTGTAGCTGCAACCCTCTAAAAAATTCCAAGAATAATAAAGATTAGAAAAAAACAAAATAACAGGATGAACAGGAAGAGGAGGAAAAGAGAAAGTATAAAAAAGTCAGGACTAACAGAAAGAATATGGGTAGAACGATAAAAACTTGAAAACAGAAAGAACAGGACAAGATAAAACGAAGAATGAATACAAAAAGAACACGGAAAAAACAGAAGGTATAGACGTATAGAAATAATTAAAATGCAAAATCAAATACAGAAAAGAACAAAAAGGACTAAAGGAATAGAAATGACTGCATCAAGAGAGGAGGAGGAAATGGATGGATAGAAGAGTACAGAGAAGATAAATAAGGGGCGGAAAGGGTAGAAATGCAGATATGGTAGAATGCTTGAATTTAACTATTCTAACTATTAGTTACGGGGGCGCCGAGCTGAATGTAGCCCAGGGCACTGAAAACATAACCCGGGGCCTAAGCCTGACCAAGAATTTGTTTTAATTAGTTTTGGATGGGGTGCTTCATCTTGGAGTTTCCGAGTTTTCTTTTACTGGGTGTGACTCCTGTCAGAATTACTTCGACTTTTCAGCAAAATCGCATTTGCCTCCTCCAACTGCTTTGCATAGGTCAACCGTAGTGTACACTGCAGATTGTAGGAACCACAGTTGGGTATTTTATCTGTGGTAGGAACCATTGAATTTATGTTATAAATTCATTGTGGCATGGCATATTTTATGTGAGAAGATAGGCAACACATAACACGTAAGCATATTAAATTGCATAAAAAATATGCTTAATCTTACGAGTAAATTTTTACTCTTTGTCAGAGAAGAGGTGAGGTTTATTTTTAGTGATAAAAGTCGCGTTATAATATAAGTACTTATAATACTCAGGCATACAAACAGTAATAACGCATTTTAGCTTCGTTTAGTATCTTTTAAAAAAAAAGTAAGTATAAACATTTCTATGAAAAACACTTCGGAGATTGAAGAAATGGCCCAGAGCTCTGATAAAAATTTACGTGTGCATGGAAACTGAAAGGTCTTATAAATCTCTTCTCCTACAAAACTCTAGAGAGGACTTAGAAGTCCCGGAAATGGTATATCCTGTTCTCTATAAGCCTTTGCATAGCTCCTCCATGACCTTTCTACAGGTAGCGTAAAAAGCAAGGAAAAGTTGCTAAAATAAGCTTTGAAAGAGCGGTCTAACGGTTGAGAAGAAACCTAGAATGCT